ATTATAGGTTGATGAAATGATAATTACAAGTTTTGTACTATCTGTAGTTACCCATTGCTTGTAGATAATATATTCTACATCATTTGAATATAATATTTAACTTATCATGGCTTTTAGAAGATTCAGGTCAATGATCACAATCATTAAAAAAGCAATCTGGTAATGCTGGATTATAAATTATTTTTTGGCATTATATCCTATGTAATCTTAATTAAATCTTCATTTAAAGTATTTTAGACAAAATCATCAGTATTAATTTTCCACCTGTGATATAGAATAAAATTTTAATTGATCTTCACCTAGATTAGATGTTTTTTCCACTATCAAATCCTGAATGTTATTGGTAAACAGACGAGTTAAAATAATATGCTAGAAGACGTGTTGAATTATTTAAGAACGGGCAAGTTAAGAATATTATGCAGAGAGAGATCGCTCGATTTGAACAGTTTATTTTGTAATATAATATGCTCGTAAAATAATATGTGATATAAAATATTCTTTTTTAACGCAGCTGTTATGCTATTTTATCGAGCTAATGAGTCATTAGCTATAGCAACAAATAGATCCAAAAATGCAAATTTTGAGTGGGGAGGGGGGCAGAACTGGAAAATTTCACATCTCTTCTAAGCGTATCAATATTTTTTATTTTCCTTAAGAATATTATTTTTCCAACTATAATTCCTAGTTTCATATAGCGTCATCTATTTTTTTTCAATTTTTAATAAAAATGTATATTTCGGAAGAGCCGATAGCGTCGCCAAGGTTTTGACATTGTATATATTTATTAAAGGTGTCTAAATAGAAGGCAAAAAAAAATTTCTAAAAAAACTTCCTTTATTACTTACAAACACAGGTAAAGCAATATAGGTAAACTGGCGCCAATTTTTTTTACCTACAATATTATATATTTTTTTATTATAAATAGTCTTTGAGATATATGCATTTTAAAAATTTTACACATTCCAAAGTGGCTCTTTTTTGCAACTATGAATCCCTATATCTCGGGAACCAGGTGTGCTAGCTAGCTAAAATAAACGGCTTTCTCAGTTTTATATCAGTCCAAATAATTCCAAAATATTTAAGAATTTTAAAAGGGGCCGGCCTAAAATGTGCCTTTCTTGATCGAATGGCCCGTTTATAACAAATATATATTTTTTTATTGTTTAGAATATAGTAGAGTTGGCATGACTAAATTACATTTATTTATTATTTTTTTAAATAAAAATCATGATTTAATCTATTTTATTTTGCCTGTATAAATTCTTAGTTTTTGTTTTCAAATAAAAACGAAGATTGATTTAAGTTGTATTTATTTAATTAATTTAAGTATAATATCACCATCTATCCATGAGTAGTTTGATAGAAGGGTCATTGTTCCCATATGACTTTTAAAATTACCAAATTTATGTGGTTTTAATTTTAACTAAGATAAATTCAGATGCAGTTTATAAATTTTAATTCTAGTATCAGTAAAAATACTAATTTATTTAAAAAATTCTATAACAACAGTAAAATTTAATTTTTTAAAAAATTATATATTTAGGATATAATCATAAATGGGTAATTTGATATTGATAACATAATGGTTAAATATTTTTTAATCAATATAAATACTGCTAATTTAACTTTTTTATTTATAAATTTCCACAAGAAAACACATAATAGTGTTATTAAACAGCACGATTTTTTAAAACAGCTTTTCTAATATTTTAGCTAAAAATTGTTACGCAAGCTTCGAGATTTCTTTAATAGATGTCCAAACCTTTCTGCCATCTATAGGCTAAATCTTCAGGCTTGCATAATATTTTTTGGCTAAAATATTGGGTTAGCCGTTTTTAAAAATGGAAACAACACTAATATGTAATTTAATAAAATAAATAATTCACGTTTAATAAATAACTTTGCCTAAGGTATTATTTTCTTTTTGGCATATTTTTATAATTTTCTAAATAATAAAATTTGATTTAAATAAAAAAAATCATGATTTTTGACAGCCCTATTATATGGAAATTAGTATTTGAAGAAAATTTTATGTTTCGTTGTTTATATTTTTTCAGTAAATCAGGTTCATTTATCCTCGCTACTTTGCCCAAATCTATTAAAAATTCTCTAAATTTTTTTTACACTATATTTATAATAATTTGGGAATAGGGTTAGAAATATCCATATTATATAAAAATTCAATGCACTTATAAACATCATATAAAATAGAGCAAATGGGTATGTTCACATTCATCTCACACTATCACCTTATCGACTCCACTATTGTTGAGTTAGGAGAAAATAAATTCTGGTTTAGTGGTAGCATTAACAATATTTGGGTTTTGCATACATTGTGCAAAAGTATTTGTAATTTTTCTTTTTTTTGAAAGGTTGCATCTGAGATCCAAATAAAGTTGTACGGTTTTTTAAAACGATATTTTCGTGAAGTAATTGCATGCCAAAGCACAGAACCTTGAACATGATCGAAAACTAACTTTTATTTAATACGAATTTGATTAAGACGGCATCAATATTGATTTATGTTTCGGATCTGTTCAATTTCGGAATTTTGTACAAAATATTGGGTTCGCCGATGCGTTTATCCTGTTCCAATCTATATTTAATTGGTTTTTTAAAATATTAATTATAGATTAAAATTGGTATTGTACTAGTTTTTAATAATTTTTTTCAATCAATTTACGCCTCACGGATAAACATTCTTTTTGTATAAATTTTTATTTAAAAATAACAGAAATTAATCAAGTAATACCAAGGTTATAAGTTAATTATTTTATTTAGCATATCCTAAAAAAAATAATATAAATTAGCCTAGCCAAAAAAATAAAATGTAATTCATCCTATTCTTGTTAATTTTGGGACAGCCTTATATATTGAATGATCGATAATATACTAGAAAAAAAAATAAAATTTAAATAATTGTCTAATTTAAATTCTAAATTAGTTGATTTACTTAAACTAAATAAGAAGAATTAAAACCTAATGTGTAGTAGGGGTTGTTTAATTGATTTTATTAAATGTTCTTAGGACAAATTTATGATGTTTTAATAAATTTAAAATTGAAAATAAATTTCACCATCAATAATTTTTTTTGCCTCTATATGCTCTAAATTAATATTACTCCATTTTATTAAAAATCTATATGCAAGGTGTCCTAGATGTAATGAAGGTCAACGGTCCGGTCCTATCGGTTTTAGACCGGACCGCACCGATTGTCGGACTTGTCTTTTTTGAGGACCGTGGTCCGGACCTGTCTTTTTATTTTTTACGGTCCAGACCGCGGTCCGGACCGGTCTTTTATTATTTAAGTTTGCTTTAATATTTAATTAATATAATTTTTTTGTATATTTTATTTTATGATATTTTTTTAGATGAGTTATTTTAGATTTTGTTAATTTTTATTTTACAAATATTTTCAAAATGTTGATATTTTATATAATAATACAGATTTTAATATTAAAAATTATAATAGACTATTTAAAAAAAAGTAATTTTTTACAATTATATAAAATATGTGTAATTCTTATGCAAATAATGTTATTTAAAAAATATGATGATATTATCTAATAAATAATACTTTTTTTTTTAAAAAAAATTGATTATATGTTAAAACTAATAAAATTTTATTGTTTTTTTGATTTGAATTTAAAAAGAGATCTACTTTTCTCTGAGATTTTGCTAATTCATCTAGAATCAAATTTTTATCTAAAATAATCTCCTTATAAATATTCAATAGGACTAATCCATTTAAACGTTTTTCACCGGTTGTGTTTCTTAAATAGGTTTTTAATTTTTTTAAAGTTGAAAAAGACTCATTAGTGCAGGGGGTACTAATTGGCAAGGTATCTAAAATAATTAATAATGTTTTAATATTAGGCAGGGAATCTAAAATGCAATTACACATGGAAAGGGCCTGCAGAGCATTTTTTGGTCTCAAAGAATACCCTATTCTGTCAAGATTTTTATACCAAAATTCGACATCACCTTATAATTTATCATATGAACCTACTAAATCATCAGCATAAAACTCTGAGATTTTTTTAATATCCTCTCTTGTTTCAAGTGTAATCAACAGTTAAGACTCAACCGGCAAAAGAAAATAAAAGCTTTTTAAAATATAAATATGACTAATAAATCTTTCTTTTAATTGAAATAAAAATGTATCAATAAGGGAAATAAAAATGTTTATTTTATAAAAATCCTCAATCGTAGATACATCAATATTTGATCGATTGGATTGTCTAGAGACTACTCTAGGTTTAAAAATTTCAATTCCAAACATATTAGCAATCTCCTTTACTTTTTCATATATTTCATGAAATTTTTCATCCACATTCTCTCTGATATTTGTTAATATTTCAACAATATTCTTTGCTCTATTCATAATCTCCCTTAAATCCAAATCAATTTTTTGTAGTATTTTGCTAAAATCATATTGTATAATTAAATAAAAAATAAACACATTGAATTGAAATTAAAAACTGTGGCTTAATAATAGCCTGCAAAAGATTCTCAGCATCTGCTGAATCTTTTTCCTTGCTTGATATATAAAATTCTAGTGCTGCAAAGACAACATCATATAGTTCAATAAAGAGTTTCACCGACTCTTGTCTTTCGATGAATTTGGTCGGACAAATTTAGTTTTTTTTTTTGATTTTTTGAGTCAATATCATGATACGTTTGAATAAATAACTCCCTTTTTTGGGTGGTGTGAAATAGATGCAAACCAAAAATAAATATAATAATAATCAAATGTGTATATCTATTATTATTTATAATAAATTTAAAACATAAAAATCAAGCGTTTATTAAGAATTTATTAAATTAAAAATAAAAATTTTTTTTTTTCATTTTTCATGGGGGAAGGGGGGGTTGACACCCCCCCCCCCCTTCCATATGCCCACGCCACTGAATATAGTATTGAGCTATATATAATTATATATCTCGAAAATTTTAGTATTTTTTTGCATTAACATATTATTTATTTTTATATTAAATAGTATTCCGCGGTTCTTTTGCTAATATTTATTCTCGAAATGATAGCCGGGATCTCCTTTTACGCCAAAAGACACAAGGTTAAATTTAAATTACATTCCTTTTACAGGTTTTGGGTGTTTATATAGCTCAAAAAAATTTATGATTATCAAAAAAAATTTTTTAAAACTTTTATTTGCGAATTATTGGTAAATATTTAATCTATGAAAATATATCATTTATTTGTAATTATTTAATCTATAAAATAAATATATTCTAATAACTTTGAATTCATAATTTCTCCCACATTATATTATATTTTAAACTATATATTGTATTTAAAAAAGGTGTAAAAGTAATTTGATTGGCCGCTCTCTGATTCCTTTTAGTTTATATTTAAGGCTTGGTAGCCAAAATTTTTATTTTGTTTTTGTCCAACCCTAGTCCGAATATATCATTGCCAAAAAAATTATGTAGCTTATATTTTAAAAGATTTATTGGTTCTAATGTTATATAAATTAAAAAATATTATTATTAAAAAATATAATAAAATCTAATTTTTTTAAAATTATGACTTCGTATTTTATATTTAGTATTTAGAATATTCGCTATAAAATCCTATTTTAACTTTTCTATAATTATTATCTTGATGTTATCTATTTATCGCAGACACTTTTATGATATATTTGAAATCTTAAATATATTTTTTATTGTAGATAGCCAACGGTTTTAAATTAGGTCTAAATCATTCCTTGGAACACTATCCTCAAGAAGATCAAAAATCAATTGATTACCTTCAAAAAGCCGTAATTTATATTATTTTATCCTTTAACATATAAAATTATATTTAATATGAAATTATTGACACAGCATTTATCTTAGACGAATTAATATTTATAGGTCAAATTTTTTTTAAAAATATAATTTGCAATTTTGATATCTAATAACAAATAATATTACATATAATATTATCAGTTGAAACTCAAAACTGGGGAAAGTGCTTACCATTTTGAAATCTGTATAGGCGTGATTAAATGAACAATGGTCTGGGCGGGTGTCAAAAATATTTTTAAATTGGTGGGCAGGCTAATGGGCTTAAAATATTTTTCCGAATGCATTTAGCACATTTTCCGAAATTGGTTATTCTCCTAAATATAATTTAAATATGCGGAATTAATAATTCCTATTACCACAAAAAAAAATTAAATTTGTAGGCAAAATTCTCCTAAAAATTTCTTCACAAAAAAAATTAAAAATTGATAAAAAAAATGATAAAAGAATATCATAAAAAATAAAAATAATATACCCCCCCCCCCCCCGAGAGTGGCAGTAACCGTTTTATTCATACATATTAAAAAATACGCCAATTGAAAGAAAAAGGTAACATTCAAAAATTTCTACCAAAATCCAGACAATCTAAAAAAAATAAATAAAAAATTTAAAAAAAAAAAAATAAAAAAAAAATAATATATGAAAATTTCCCCATGATTTAATCTGTTACCCAAAATTTTATTATAATAATTTATTATTTCTATTATTTTAAAAAATAATAATTTTTTGTAAATAACGAAAAATGATTTAGAATACCATTCAGAGACCTGCAGAGGTGCCATTTGCACGACCGGGCCGAGATTTTATTTAAAAATTTTTTTTTGGCCCGACTCGGGTTTTATATTTTCAGGCCCGGCCTGTATATTATATTTATTTATTTAAAATATTTAGTTTAAAGTATATGACCAGGCCCGAGTATATTTAAAAAATTAAAATAAGGCCCGGCCGTGTCTCCGGGCTTAGGGTCGACCTGCAAGTCTCTGATTTTTACATTAAAAATAGCTTATATTATTTTTTTCTTCATAATAGTGCTCTAAACATTTCTAAAATATTGAACTAGTTCAACCTCCTATCCTACCTCAAAAAAAAAGGAACAACGCGTTCACGTTCATTCAAATGAATAATTTTTTTTAAAAATTTCATTTATTATTTAATTTAATATAAATATTATTTAAAATTAATAGTTTTAAGTGAATGAGTCTTATTAATTTTTATATATAAATCAGAGACCTGCAGGCCGTGTTAATTTTTTAAACATACCCGGACCGGTCTATATGTTTTAAATCTGAATATCTTAACACCATTATTAGCTATAAAGATTTAAAATAAATGTAATTGAAAAAATTTCGGGCCAGGCCTGAAAATTTAAAAATCGGGGGGTGGGGGTTGCTTGCAAATGGTACCTCTGCAGGTCTCTGATATAAATATTTTTATGTATCATATAAAATTTATTATTTACAAAATATATAAATTTATAATATTTTAAATTGTGTTCACCTATTAAAATATAAAACGCTTGATACAAATTTTACATAAACATACTAAAAAAATAAATTCTAAAAGATATTAACAATTTTATATCTATATAAATAATATATAATTTTTGATTTTTACTTTATTTTAATCTATCAATAATCATAATAATTTAATAAGCCTAGAAATACAACAATCTATAAATTATTAACAGGATACTTCTAGTTATATTTTATAAAATAATAAATATTATAATCAAGTATCTTTAAATTAGAACTTGAAGATTTTGAAACTGATATTATACTCTTCTTTGTATACATTTTACATTTGGTAAGGATAGAATAAGTTTATTGAATATATGATGTTACTGTTATTTATTAAATTTGGGCTATGGTAATGTAATTCAGAATTAGATGATGAAATAACATCGCTTACGCTAATCTATAAATAATAATAATCAGTTAATAAACAATATTATAGGACAGTAATAGTAACTGGTTAAAAAATGTAAAAATTTAGATTTAAATTAATATTTATTTTCAAATGAATAAAAATAAGATTTTCTAAAATTGAACTAACTTTAAAAACGAACGCGTTTCATCAAAAAAAGGGAACGCGCGAACGTTCAAAGTTCATCAGAAATATAAATAAGGTCGTTCATCATTTTTTTTAAAAAACGAACTTCGTTTTAAACGCGTTTTGACAACATTAATTAAAATTAATAAATTTATTAATTTATATTATCGATATTTAGGAAACAGCCTTAATCAAAAAAATATCTCATTTTTAGATATTCCTTCTTTTACAATGATTTGATTTTTTCAAACTTAAATTTTGGTTCCTTTTATTCAATTATTATTATCAGCAAATTCAAATTATTTAATAAAATAATAAATGTTATATATGCACAATTATAAAATTCTCCAAAACAATGATAATATTGGATCGGGTTTTTTAAAAATATCGGTCCGATCAAATTTTTTTAAACGATAAATATCAGCCCGATCCGATAAGATCGGCATAGTCGATTTGGCGGTGATATCTCACGTATAAGATTAGCTTTTTTATTCCTACCGTTTTAATTAAGCTTGTAAAATTTTTCCTTAATTAATTTATTCTCCTCTCAGTTACATTGTTGCGGTATCTCCAACTATACAGATTGGTTTGATACCCCCTTTGGCTTTAATAACACTGTTCCATTAAGCTGTTGTTCAATATCTCCCAATGATTGCATGCATTCATCGCTACCAGACGATTCTACGATAGTGGGCCAAAACATTTATACCCAGGTTTGAATATATCTATTATAAGGTCATATTCATTTCAGTTTATAAAACATTAAAATGTTAATTCCACTTTCTTATTTTTTGAGAATTTCTCTTTATATTTACTTTTTTCACTCGTTCCCTAGCACATTTATATTACTGCCATAGAAATTTAATGTAATATTTCATTAAATTGTTATTATATCATTAAATCTGCTAAAATTTGTGATTGTTTTATTAATATGATTTTAAAATTAAATTATAAAAGATGTTATATTTTTAGGGCTGTCACGACAAAGTGATTAAGTTTGTAAATGATCATATGGCTGCAATTGGCGCAACGGAATTATCTATAGCATTTTTCAACGTAAATAATTATTATTATATATTTTTTAAGCGATAACTTTCGCGACTTTTCTTAATACATCAGAGATATACCCCGATGATATAATCGGAGATTATATGAGTGAAAAGATGATTAAATTTGTTATATATTTTGTATTCGAAAGATATATTATATAGTGATGTATTTCCATGAGTGTTACGTATTTTTATATAAATGGGTTTAATTTTTGATTATACTTGGAAATTTTTATATGAAGATTCTATTAAACAAAATAACCTTGGTTTAATTAAATAGTTAGCACAATTGAATTCTGCCCGTGGGACCTTATATTTCAATCATAATTTGAAATAATCACTCCTTAGAATTCATATAAGAAATTTCCATAATAAAACAATGGCCCAAATCCAAAAAACGATAATTAACCCTCATAAATTAAAAATAATTGGCATACACTGAGGAGCTAAGAAATGATAATTGACAAAACTATTTTTCTTTAAGATTTAATGAATCAATATCTTAGTTATGATTCTGTTAAATTGTATAATATAGTCGGTCTCGTCACAAAATACAAAACGGTCTAACTAACAAAATTTTAAAGGCGTTTTTTATTGCATTTCTAGATCAATTAATATGTTTATTATGGTAATTTTATTATTTAAACCGCTTATTTATAAAAATTTATATTTAAACTTTTTCTTGTCTCTGTAAAATTTAATAAAAAGTAGATAGACGGTTTTAAGTGAGGCCATTTATATGAATTTCTTAAATCAACTCACAATTGCACCGATAAATTCATGTTTTATGTAAATTAATAAGTATATTTGATTTTATTTTCAGATTCTTGGACTCCTTTTAAGCTATTATTTGGCCAAAACTGCCCTTAAAGCTGAATATGAAAACCTGGATACCGATAATAATTGAGATTAAACCAATTTAAGAAATCATGATAATAATTTTATTTTGAATTTTATGTTTATACAATTACTGTTATAAATATAATTGATTTATTCAATATATCATTTACATTTTATAATATTTAAATAAACACGTTGAATAAAAATATAAAACTATAATTATATATTTTGATTACCTTTTGCTATAATTAATTTATATTTATTTATAAATTAAATTAATAAAAAGGTTATAAAATAGCGTATACCTTTGTACAAAAAGCAGAATGGAATAAATTTTAATAAAACTTATTTCATATAAAATGATCACTAAGCTCAGGCAAGCTTTTAGATTAAATTAATACCATGAGCCAGAGTTGGATAAAATTCTTCATAAAAAATACTTCATTACATGTTCTAAGCTATATTTCAAAATCATTCTCATGCGTTAAACTGGTATCTAAAGTAGAGGTGGACGCCGGCCACGATAGGTCACGGCATGAGGGTGAAAAATTTTAATTATTAGGCATAAAGGACCTTCCCAAAATTTTTGCCTAGCGTGATTGGGCGTGAACATAAATTTCCCATGAAAAATTTTTATTTTGTAAATTGTTTTTTTATGAATATAAATTTACAATTTTATAATTATAATGTATATTTTCTAATTTAGATAAGACAGGGCTGATTAAACAAAATACTTGATATATTAAGCCTCTAGCCCTATGCGTTATATATATAACAGAGCAACGCTTGGTTCTCTCATAAAGTCTATCAAACTGGGATAAAAAATGGATGTGAAATTATTAAGAGAATCATTAGGCATAGCCAGGGATTTCTTGCTGGCGAAGGCCAACTGATTATGGGGGAGGGGGCAATATATTTTTGAAATAAAACAAATAGTTAGGCAGTTAAGAATTTTTTGCTATTTTTATAAAAATTTGTAAATGTATATGTTGTCCATATTAAATCAACAAAAAAAAGTCGATTCTCAACCCGACCCCCTTCAATTTTTTTTAAAATTTGTATGTTGGTAGTATATACACTAACTAATAAAAATGTAAAATTTTATTTTTCAAATCGGCTTACTTCATGAGATATGGCCATCTTTAGAAACGCGAAAATTCCAAAATACAGTATATTTAATTTTAAATATCTCAAAGAGTAATTAAGCTGAAGGCATGATTTAAATTTTATTAAATAGCTCTAGAATAGCCCTTTAATATGATATAAAAATTATTTTATTAATAAAAAGTCTATTACCAAAAACCGGAAATAGAAATCCGGAAATAGCTATAAAATAAAAATTGCTCTTTTTTTTCTTTCAAATTTTTTTTACAAATAGACATTATACTTCTTAATATTTGTACAAAATTTTAGATTGGGACCATTACTGGGCCAATAGTTATTACGCTTTAAATATAAATAGTATGGCTTAAATCCTAAATTATACCAAATATATAGTAATTTACGAAACAAATAAAAAGAAAATTCCTTTATATCGGGCCGATTATATTTTTTTTATAAATGTTTCGGGCTGTGAGCCCACTAGTAGACATTATGTCATATTTAACATATAAGTTTAGCGATTTTATTTTAGAGAGAAAATAATTGTAAAAATATTTATAACTTTATTTAGCTAATTATTTATATTACATGAATATCAAATGGAAAATTAATATTGTTATAAACATATTAAATTAAATAATATCATTCATAAAATTATCTAATGAATTAGAATAACGTTTGACTTTCATTTTTCCTTCCATTGGAATGAATGAATGATATTTTTGTGTCCCGGGAATTAGTTTGACCGTTAAAAATCTATTTTCGAGATTGGTTTCCATTCTTAAATATTAAACGTTGCTGACAAATGTATAATTAATACCCGGGATATTAATTCTCGCATAATTATATAAATCCATAGGAGTTAATATATGATTTTCATAAGGACGTTGCAGGCTTGCTCTAGCAGCCAACCTCTTTGTAATTCTCCCTAAACTATCGCAAGGAGTTTTGCCATGTGCAGTTGCAAAAAAATGCCATTCTGCCTTGATCCCAAAATCATTATAATGGTTGTAGAGGTTTACAAAGTTTTTTTTGTTCTTATACTGGGTAACGGCTCCATCAGAAAAATAATAAATTATTGAAATCTTATCAAATCTTTCTTTCAGGAATTGAATTAAATTTATTTGAAATAAATAAAAGGAACAAGTATTGTGTTTTAGACAATCTGATATAACTACGTAACTTATATGTTTGATGGTACCGCTTTCGCAGTAATAAATCATAAATGGATGAAGTGACGCCTGATTATTAGTCCAATAGAAGCCTTGAGCGAGATCTTGAACTACAAAAGCGTAGTTCTCTGCAAAATCGGATATTATTAGATATTCCCCATCCTTCAAATTCGATGTTAATGACTTAAAAAATGAAGATTGTTCCGAAGAAATAAATGCATGAGGAATTAAAATATTTAGATCTACAAATTTTTTGATTAATTGATAAGCTAGAATTCACTTCTATCATCCATTGTAAAACATATCTAAGATCGTAACGTACTGAATGAGATTTTATTCTAAAGGGATTACAGCACTTTACTGGAATAGAAATAACTTTTCTAGACATTTAAATTTTTTTGGTAAGGAATAAAAGATAGCTATTAATTTTATATAATTATTTTAAATTAAAAATAAATTGGATAATGAATACCGATAATTTAATTTTCTTCTTTATAAAATTAATCAATAAAAATGACGGCTGTTGCTGTTGGAATTGAATTTGATTTTTATGATAATTCTTTTATTTGATAATTAATTATAAGTAGAAAATAATCATTATGAAAATATATTTCTGACGATCACAAAGATAATATTTTATCCGGCAAAGAAAATAATCTACATAATTCACTCATAGAATTGCCAGGTCAAAAATTTCGAATTTAAGAAGAAATTTTTTTTGGGGGGGGGGGGGGGTGGGCGAATATAAATCTTAAGATGGGGTTCGGATTTCAGTTTTAATACTATTCACAAATATTATCACTTTTGTTAAAAAAATAATTACTCATTTCGTGTAATATAGAATTTAAGCCATACTATTTATATTTAAAGCGTAATAACTATTGGCCCAGTAATGGTCCCAATCTAGGATTTTGTACAAATATTAAGATATATAATGTCTATTGTTAAAAAATTTTGAAAGAAAAAAAAAGGGCAATTTTTTTTCAACCATTTCCGGTTTTCTATTTCCGGTTTTTGGTAATAAAATTATTTTAATATAATAAATTTTATATCATATTAAAGGGCTATTCTAGAGTTATTTAATAAAGTTTAAATTATACCTTTAGCTTAATTACTTTTTGAGATATTTTAAATTAAATATGGTGTATTTTGAACTTTTCGTGTTTCTAAAGATGGCCATATCTCATGAAGTAAACTGAGTTTAGAATTAAAATTTTATATTATTGCTAGATAGTGTATATACTACCATCATGCAAATTTTAAAAAAAATCGAAGAGGGTTGGGTTGAATCTTCAGTTGATTTGATATGGAATACAACATATATGAAACAAAATAATAGTATAATTGAATATATACAAAATAATACTATAATATAATACGACGATTTTTATTTTTAAATTTCAACATAAATGAATTAAATGCTAAATTTTGTGTTTTTTTTTCATAGGCCATTATAATACGAAATTTTGTTTACGTTCTTTCATCGATTCTCTAGTGCTCAGAACTCTTTTTAGTGTAGAGAACGAGGCCTCACAAGAAGCCGTTGATATCTCAATAATGATTGCTATTGGGTAGCAATACAATTCTTTAAATGCAAGATAATTTTTTATACATAATATTTACGTTATTTTTAAAATGATGTGATTCTTTAACTTCTGCTAATAATCTTTTTCCTATTTCATTTCATGATGCAACATCTCCACATTTAATTTAAATAATTCTAATGAGGCCCTTTTATTTGATATAAAATAATCAGAATGGGGGGGGGGGCAGTGAATCTATTCTTAATAATACATAAATTATAATATTTATATATTTTAAGATTCAATTTTTTATTAAAATTCATATACAAATATAATAAAATATTATTATTTAAAAATTAACATTATAATATGGAGAATATAATAAAATTTGTCATATATAAGTTTAAGTTAAAAAAAAGATTGATACAAATGTATATTTTGATAAAAAGAAAAAACATTTTTAAAAAAAATATCAAGTGGCTAGGTCGGGCCATGATGTTTTAAATATTTGATAATTAGATCTAATCATAGAGAGGGCGATTTTCTGCTTGAGTTTATAAAATGGAGGAAGGTATGATTATTTTATTGATTTGGATATTATTTTGAAGAGATCTAATGCCGCTTGTCCAAGAGCAGATTGATGTAGCTGCTATGGGAACAAAGGTTGTCACACATTAGGTGTGAGTATTTTATAATTTTTAGAGATTCGGCTCTCTTAAGAGGATCATGCGAATTATTAGATGGGGCCTTGGGATCAATGCAGGTAAAATTTCACATAAAAGCTTTCTCATTAAAAAAGGTACGATTGTTTTGCCGTCAGGGCGTTTTTTTATCTAAAAAAGATGTCGGATCTAAAATACAGGAAAAATTGGCTTTATTTAAAAAAGAAGCTATTATTCATTAAGATAAAAGACAGAGGCTTCAACTGAATCATGAGTGAACCTCTGAGTTAAGAGTTCTATTGGTAAAATAAAATAACAAATAGCCTCCAAATTCTCATAAATGATCTAGTAAATGACCAATCCACCTCTGGTCTAAAAGTCTCTTAAAAGTATAACCTAAAAGAACTTTGTAAAGAATATAAATTTTTTAAGCATATAAAATTTTATATATTTTTAAAAAGATTGCTAGAGATATGGATTAATGCATAAAACGGGTATTAGGAACAAATCGCAACCAACATTGTGCTGACTTAATTCTATAAATACACTCTGGTTTTTTCCAAATTCACTGAGGCATCAGATCAGAAAGCTGACATGTAATTTATTGATAATCCCCAGTCTGCTATATTTACCATTATATGGTTAGCTATGTCTTTGAATTTTTCACTATTTGAGGGGAAAAAATTTAATAGTTTAATTGAAACGTCCTTAATTTTGTTGAAATAGCG